TTCTGACCGTTACGTAGATGCCGATAATACTTATATCGGTTATATATAGCGACATATCTACAATGTGTATATACAAAGGAAGGGGATGTTAGTTAGAATGCTTATATCTCAAGAATGGCTGGACCGATTTTGACAAATTTTATCAATTCAGAATGCTCTCTTGACATGAAAGAATAAAATCTAAAAAAACGCAGAAAAATATGCCAATAAAGATGTTAATATAGATATTGTAGTATTTTGTGATATGTTTTTTTATTTTTTCGCATGCGATTTTTTCAATTTGACTTATAGTATTGAAGTGGATATTTTGTAATATTTTTTCACCTTACAACAGAGGTTGGGGTTTTTATATGCAGATTCCAATAATCGTCCGATCCTCACAAAATTTTTCCCAAGGGTAGGGTAAAACTCAGAAGAGATAGGCCTATTGGTTTTAAAGATGTCCGCAATATATTTGGGGCTTGAAATGGACTAACAACTAAAAATGTTCCTGATTTTGGAGCCGTTATAAAGGTCACAAATGGAAACCAAAGGACACGGGATGTCGCATGGAGTTAGAGTTTAGGACAGCGAGTAGAATGGACCACTACTTTTGTGTGAAAAAATGCCAGCATTACTTACAGGCGATATCCGAAATACACAAAAGCTTAAATTTCTGGCTTTTCTATGCTGATTTCGTTGACGAATTTAGCCAAATATCGTGACAAGCAAATCATATAGATGAGTTTAAATTTAGAGAAATAGAGCGGTTAAAATGAAACAAAAACAGAAAAACATTTCCTAATCACACAATTGAAGCCAATCAACATGCCTGAGAAGAGAGTTAATGACAGGGAAGGATTCTAGCATTTTGGATGGAAAATGGACCACAACAACTAACAGCATGACGGAGTGCTTAAATGTTGGGCAAATATCCCTGGTCAGGCCAATGCTCCGTGACATAATTTCAAAAGCGAAATCTTCCAAAATCTATCTGGATATAAGGGGGCTTCCAACATATTGTAGTGTTGTGGGGTATCACATGGTCGGCCCCGCACGACTATAGCCTTTGCTTACTTGTTTTTTTTTTTTAATTTTATTGAATAAAAGCAAAAAATGTTGGAAATAACATCAAATTTTTAAATGTGTTTAGATTTGTTGGAATTGGTCACTTTTGATACGAATTATGGCCTTCAAACGGCCAATGAAACCGTCACATGCTGCCCGAATGTTGCTCTGTACGGTATTTTGGCCCATTCCCGACGAAGCGCTTGCTTGAGGTGATCAACACTTTGGTATTTTTTAGTGCCAACCTTGCTTTCCAAAATACTCCAAACACAATAGTCCAACGGATTGGTATCCGGAGATTTTGGTGGTCATTGTGCGCAGAAACTGAAGCGAGGAACCTCATTTAGTAACCATTTTAGGGTGGCGCGTGCTGAGTGCGATGGTGCTGAGTCCTGTTGGAATGTTCTGGCCTGCGGCCAAAATGTTTGCGTGCTCAAGGTTTTAAAACACTCTTCAGAATATTTTCGCGATAATATTCGGCATTTATTCTGATGCCACGGTCGATTAGTACGAGCAGAGAGCGACTATCGGCTGTTATGGCGGCCCCCACCATCACTCATCACCATGGCCGGCGCTTGAGTTCTGGTGGCCAACCGAAGGTTCACATTTTCAGCTGACATCTTTGACAAGTAAACAAACTGCTGGACAATGAATGTTTTCCCATCGGAGAAAACCAAATTCGGCAGTTCACCACATTCGGCCAAGCGAAGCAACTCTTTAGCTCTTTTGAGTCTATTTTCTTTCTGTTTCGGTGCAAGTTCTTGCACTTTTTGGAAATGCAATGGCTTTACCCTGAGCTCATTTTTCAATGTTTGCCGAATGATATATTGTGATATGTTCAGCTCACAAGCCATTTTTCGGCCAATACGACGGGGGTTTCGATCAAATCTTTGCTTTACTATTCGAACCATTTCTACTGATGTTGTTTTTTTTTTTGTCTCTCCCTTTATTTTTGGTCAACATTAATGACTGTCTCTTTGTCTGTCCGTCCGACTGTGGAAAACACTCTAGCTTCCGAACGACTTAAAGTAGGTTGATAAACTTTTACTAAAATGTGTGTTTTGTCTGCAGGACTTTTGGTATTGAAAAAGGGCTATATAGGTCTTATATTCACTATTTTAATGATTCCACCTCCCTATATTCGGTATTTCAGTGACATTATTTAACGGAATTGTTTCAAATTTCTTATTGAGGTTTCTAATGTCTACAGTCTGCGACAGAAAATTGCTTATGCAGATCTAGGTCTTCGTAACTCTATCTCCCTATATTCGATATTTTGATGATTTCAGCGACATTATTCACCGGAATTGTGTAAATTTCGTAATGACTCAACACCCAATAGTACAAAGACTAAAGGACTATCTAAAGTGGATTTTTAAACAATATGTTTTCAAGAGACAGAGCAACACCAAATGTGGTTTTTAATAATTTTTCTTTTCAATGAACAAAGGACCTAATTTAAATATGACCTTAACGTTAGAATTATTTGACCCTGATTATTTTTTATATTATAATACCCTACAACATTTTGTGTTGGGGGTATTATAAGTTTGATTGGGCCAAAAATTATGTAAGACCACGAAATATTGATTTCCCACATAGGAAAGTATATATGGATCCTCCTATCTCGCCGAGCTGAGTCGATCTAGCTATGTATGTCCGTCCGTCCGTCCGTCCGTCTGTCCGTCTGTCCATGTTAATTTGTAATCACTCTACAGGTCGCAATTATGGTCCGATTTTCCCGAAATTTAATATGTAGGTGGGGTTAGGGTCAGAATAGAACCCTATTTCTTTTGAAGATGATCGCATAGTATTTAGGTGTTAAAATGGACCAAAAACTGAAAAAATCCTGATTTTGCAGTTGCTCAACAGGTCACAATTATAGACCAATCGAAGCGAAAGTTTGCATGGGGCTAGAGCTTTGGGCTGGACAGAAGCTTTCCAATTTTGATGGTCATCGGGTAATATTTAGTGGTTGAAATAGGCCATAGCATTTGTGATAAATAAAAGCCAAATTTTCCATTAAACCGCGAATTTTTTAATGCCTGTGAAGTCTCAAATAGACGAAAAGGGCAATTCTGACAGTTACGTAGATGCCGATAGTAAAAATATCGGATATATATAGCGAAATATATACAATGTATATATACAAAGGAAGGGGATGTTAGCTAAAATGCTTATATCTCCAGAATGGCTGGAGCGATTTTGACAAATTTTGTCAATTCAGAATGCCCTCTTGGCACAAAGGAATAAACTCTAATAAAAAATACGTAAAATGATGCCAATAATGATGTTAAAATATATTTTGTAGTATTTTGTGACATTTTTTTATTTTTTCATATTTTTTATCGCATGCGATTTTTTCAAAGTGACTTATAATATTGAAGTGTATATTTTGTAATATTTTTTCACTTTACAACACAGGTTGGGGTTATTATTTATCATTCGATCCTCACGAATTTTTTCACAAAGGTAGGGTTAGTTAAATGGACCAGCAACTCAAAATGTTCCTGATTTTGCAGCCTTTATAAAGGCCACAAATAGAAACAAAAGGACACGAAATTTCGCATGAAGATAGAATTTAAGACAGCCGCTAAAATGGACCACTACTTTTGTGTGCAAAAATACCAACATTTCTTACAGGCGATATCCGAAATACACAATAGGCGAACTTCTGTTTTTTTTTTTTTTTTTTTTTTTTGTGCTAATTTCGTTGATGAATATAGCCAAATATCGTAGACAAGCAAATCATATAGATGAGTCTAAATTTGAAGACACAGATGGGCATTTTGCTTTTGGAGACGATCGCAAAATATTTAGGGGTTCAAATGAACCAAAAACAGAAAAAAAATTCCTGATCACACAATTGAAGCCAATCGATACGCCTGAGAAGATAGTTAAGCACAGGGAAGAATTCTAGCATTTTGGATGACCATTGGATTATATTTAGCCGTAAAATGGACCACAAAAACTAACAGCACGATGGAGTGCAAAAATAATGGGAAAATGTCCCCGGTCAAAATGCTGAGGGTAATATCTGCGCAGTGCTCCGTGACATAATTTCAAAAGGGAAATCTTCCAAAATGGATTTGAACATGAGGGCGCTTCTAACATATTGTAGTGTTGTAGGGTATCACGTAGGGTATCACCGCACGACTATAGCCTTTGCTTACTTGTTTTTTTATGTTTTTTCCTTATAAATGTATTTCCTTTTTGTAAATAAAATATGTTTTTTATTTTTAATTTTTTCAACAATTTTTCTTTACTACTTTCCATCTCTCTCTCTATCTCTCTCTCTGCAAAGCCAAACACCTTCCCTACAAGTAAATTTCACATACTTCAACCATCAGTTGGTAATTGTATTTGTATATCTATTTGAAAATTAAAATCACATTACAGGCACTACAACAACATCCAGTGTGGCATTGACAATATTTGAATGTAGGCTTTGTAGGCATAATATTGACTTAACAAGTTTGTGAGAGAATTACACATACACACGCACATCCAAAGAAACAGACACATACACTTGCATCAAATACATATGTAAATATTGGATTCAATAATGATAAAATTTCATAAACTTACAGTAGACACACACAATCATACATTTATATATAGATATGGGAAATATAAGTTTCGAAAAGTTAACACATTTATCAGACACTTAATAAAGAGAAGAAGAAGAGGAGGAATTTTGGGTTCTTTTTCTAAGTGAGTTGTTGTTGGGGATTGTTTGCAGGGGAGAATACGAATAGAGTTATAATTGGAAAAAACTAATTGTTTTTATTTTAATTTTTTCTTGAAAAAAAAATAGTAAATTATTAAAAATATATATATTTTTTGTTAAATAAATATTGATTTGAAATGTTCTTAATTTTTTTATTTTATTTTTGCTTGCATTGTATTGATCCGCCTGGCAGCCTAAAACTGATATTTACCAAGTTCTTTACCTGCTGTGCCCATATTTAATATGCTAATCTCTCCAAAATAGGAACCTGCCTTTAATGAAGCCATTACGGTTTTACCATTATCGGCCACCACCTGCAAGCGTCCTCGATTAACGATGTACATCTCCTTGCCCACCTCACCTGGATGGCGTTAATGCCGGACACCATCGACAGTTAAGTAGCCGAGCAGAGTTTACATTTGGGTGACGAGTTGATCGGCAGTATTTTTTTGTTGAAATTCATTTGACCGGATGTTATTGGTGGTGGTGGTGGTCGGTCGAACGCACAGACGGTTGGTTGGTTGGTGTTGCATTAAAAGTAAAGTTGGTAAGATGAATTATTAAGTGGTTTTTACAGTTTGCGGTGTCCACACAGCCAGGTGATTTATTGAGCAATTTGTAAAAGTGTTCAGGGTGCAGAGGTGTGTGTGTATGAGTGGTTGAGTGTGCCAAAGGTGTCCACCATCACACATTGGGTAGTAGCAGCAAAGTTGTTCCATATGTGGTTGTTGTTTGTTTATCCATGAGTTTGGCCCGTGCAATTCGTTTAAGTAGATTTTCGTTATTTTGGGCGTGTCATCGAGCCCATGTGGGCAAAATGAGTGGAAAGTGATTGCATATCACCAACACAAACCCACCAATTTCAGCCATATTAAAAAAAAACACATGCACACACACATCGCCACATAAGCACACACACACAACGTCATACAATCAACATGGGAAGTTTTATCCCAGTAGTATGGCAAGCAGCACGAATTCGTTTCATATATTCAACAACACCCGTCGAGTGTTAAGTTGTTCCAATGTCCCAAGTGTCAGCAGCAGCCCAGCCAGAGCCAAGGCATGTGTAATGTACACACACATACATCGATAATTCATGGAACGTAAAACAAAGTTGTTGTCGTTGTTAGTGATATGAATGAAGTTGGCGAGCAGCAGCATCATGATGTTATGAAATTGTGTTTGGTATTGGCCAGCCAGCCAGTTGTTGCACATTCCAAAATCCACATCAACGAGAATTGCATTAAATTTTCAGTGGATAAATATTTCGAAAAAAAAGCAAAATCAAAAAAAAAAAAAGAAGAAAAACAAGAAGAGACAAGAAAATCCAACAAAATGGTAAATTTACCCCCAATTTTTCGTTATTGGATCCATCACACAGACAGTTCATTGAGATATTGATGTTTGCATATATATTTATTTATTTATTGAGAAAAAAAAAATATGGGAAAAAATTAAATAGAATACAGAGAAAAATAAAGAGAAATACAATTTAATATATTGCCAAGAAAAAATGTGCGTTCACAACACACACTCACATCGATTTCAATACAATTTTCTCATCGAGGCAAACAACTTGTTGGATAACTTACCTTTGCGACAAATATAGTCACCGGGTGAAAAGAGCACCGGACGCAATCGTAATACCAATTCACACAGGAAACCAGCTTCGGTATTTTGAAAAATCTCCACTCTTTTAAGGGTATCTAAATGGACGTTAATTGCTATTTCAGCCTATGGGATGCCACACAGAAATTGAAACACAAGCATTGGCAGCGGCAATTAGGGGGGTGATAAAAAATAGTGGATGAAAGAAAAAATAGAGGAAGTATTGTTAGTAGATTTTTGAATGTAGTTGTCATAGATCTTTTTTACTTGATAATACAAACACATATATGTGCATTTTTACAGTAAATCCTATATCAAGTTGAATGGAAAACCAGTAAAGAAAGTCTTAAAGTCAGGCGGGGCCGACTTTATGAGACCCTACACAACTTTGATAATTTAGTAGAGCTCTACATAACAATTTAACAGTTTCTATGGGAGAATTCAATCATACACACTATGATTATAATTGTAATTAAAAGTTCAAAGGGAGAAATCTTCACCAAATTTGATATTCTAGCTTCTAGACTCAATTTAGTGATAAGCGCCAAAATGCATCCCATTTGGACAAATATTAAAAGTTTGGTGCACAATAAAATGTAAATCGGACGAAGTTATATATGGGAGCTACATCCAAATCCGAACTGATCTCGATAAAATTTCGCAAAAATATTTCTGTGCTGTATTTGAAATATTTCACTGAATATCGATGTTACGGAGTGCATATTACGGCTATGGGTAACAAATATAACAAATCGGATGAACAATATACATGGGAGCTATAGCTAAATCTGAACCGATCTTCACCAAATTTGACGTACTAGCCTCTAGACTCAATTCGGTCACAAGTGCCAAATTGCTTTATTAAATGTTTGGTGCACAATAAAAAAGGTAAATCGGACGAAGCTATATATGGGAGATATATTCAAATCTGCACCGATACAATTTTTGTTACAGAGTGCATATTACGGCTGCGGTGGACAAAAATAACAAATCGGATGAACAATATATATTGGAGCTATGGTTATATCTGAACTGATTTCGATCAAATTTGGCAAATCTGGTTGTATGTACAAAATTTCGTATTATTCGGGCTGATTTTACACGTTCGGTTCACAATAAAAGACAAATCGGACGAAGATATATATGGGAGCTATATCTAAATTTTTACCGATTATCTCCTATTTCAATAGGATTGGTCCTTGGGCCAAACAAATGATTTGTGTCAAATTCCATCAGAATCGGGTAATTTGTTTACAAAAATACATGGACAGAGGGACGGACATACATAAATCAACACAGAATGTGATTCAAAAGGAACTATGGATCTATCTCGTTTCCTTTTGCCTGTTACTAATATATGCCCAAAGACATTATACCCTGACCACCTTGTGTTTTTTTTTTAATTTTATTGAATGAAAGCAAAAACAGTCGGAAACAGCATCAAATTTTAGAATAAGTTTAGGATTATTCGAATTGTTCACCTTTGGCACGAATTATGGCCTTCAAACGAACAATGAAACCGTCACACGCTGCCCGAACATTACTCTGCGGTATTTTGACCCATTCCCGGCGAAGCCCTTGCTTGAGGTGATCGACACTTTGGTATTTTTTAGTGCCAACCTTGCTTTCCAAAGTTCTCCAGACACAATAGTCCAACGGATTGGTATCCGGAAATTTTGGTGGCCATTGTGCGCTGGAAATGGAGCGAGGAACCTCATTTTCTAACTATTTGTGGGTGGCGCGTGCTGAGTCCTGTTGCAATGTCCATGGTCTGCGGCCAAAATGTTTGCGTGCCCAAACAAACTGATGCCACTGTCGATTAATATGAGCGGAGAGCGACCATCGGATGTTATGGCGGCCCACACCTTCACCATAGCCGGCGCTTGAGTTCTGATGGCCAACTGAAAGTGCACATTTTCAGCTGAGCTCTTTGACAAGTAAACAGGATCATTTTGTTTGTTTACAAACTACTGGGCAACGAATGTTTTCTCATCGGAGAAAACCAAATTCGGCAGTTCACCACTTTCGGCCAAGCGAGCAACTCTTTAGCTCTTTTGAGTCTATGTTCTTTCTGTTGCGGTGTAAGTCCTTGCACTTTTTGGAATTTCTATGGCTTCTCCCCGAGTTTATTTTTCAATATTTGCCAAATGGAATATTGCGATATGTTCAGCTCGAGAACCACTGCGACGCGGGTTTCGATCAAGTCGGTACTTTACTTTTTGAACCATTTCTGCTGATGTGGCTGTTTTCTTCCGTCCACTTCCTTGATCAGTATCACGGTAACGAGCGATGGTACGAGACACAAAGATGTTATTCACATTTAAGTGATGGAGTGCTCTAACGATAGCCACTTGTGGTTTTCCAGCTAAATACAAAGAAATCACACTATCACGCTTGAATTCCGTCAAGAATAGCTTTTTTTGTACGCTTGCAAACAATATAATGAGCTGTCAGTGGAATAATTTTAACAGCTGTCGAACGAGTGACTTAATAATGGCAGCAGTCTGAAGTTGGTTACACTTTTTTCATCTCACCCTGTATACAAGGCCATGTTTTTAAAGAGAAGGGAAATTTTGTGCTGGGAGGATGAGGAAAACACTATTTTTCTTTGCCGCCTGACAAAGACTTAGGCTGTGGTATACCTTCAAACAATCTCAAATGACTCTACTGTGTACTTTATTAACGCATACATACATAGATATACCCAACACACCGGTCATCCCTGTATACACGTATGTTCGGATGAAAGACATGTGTGTTGCTGAACTGCTAATGACATGGCTTGAGGATATCATGATTCTAGTAACTATTTGACAGTTTTGCTTTATTTCTGTTGTTGCTGTTGTTGTGGTTAACACTCATCTCGTGTCACTCTTCGGGACAAAACAAAACTGGAAATAAGGTAAACAAGATATCTAACATGGAATACCAATTATGGGTAGCATTGAACCATATGTTTCCATTGAGTCGGTTGATGAAGAACAATTAGTTGCTTTCGTTTATCGTTTTTTTTTCCGGACATACTTTCACCCAAACACACATACGAGGTGACAAGGCATTTTGCATTTTTGGCCAAAAAATGTTCAATGCTGTGAGACGGCCATGTTGAAATGCAATCATAGAGCAAATGTAAGGGCTTGCAGGGGCGAAATGTCTGTGAACATTTTCGGAAACAGGAAGCATGGCAAATTTTATACGATTTTGTGAGTTTCATGTATCCTATTCCTGCGCAGCATTAAGATACCGCTTAAAGTTATGTTGTTTTATTTTTAATAGTTGTGTATTTTTATGCCCTACACTACAAGGTGGACAGGGTATTATATCTTTGTGCATTTGTTGGTAACAGGCAAAAACAAACGTGATAGACCCATAGTTCCTTTTGATGATCTGCATAGAATCACATTCTTAGTCGATTTATGCATGTCCGTCGGTCTGTCCATGTATTTTTGTAAACAAAGTACAGTTCGCATTTATTGCCCTATCCAGATGAAATTTTGCACAAATAATTTGTTTGACCCAAAGACGAACCCTACTGAAATTGGAGATAATCTATCAAAATTTAAGTATAGCTCCCATATATATTTTCGTCCAATTTGCTTTATATTGTGCACCAAACTTGTAATATCAGTATGTATCAAATAGTATGTAATTTTGCACGTAGGACCCGATTGGGCCTGAAAATAAGTATGCCGAATCGGTAGAGATATATATATAGTTCCCATGGATATTGTTCGATTTGTTATTTTTGTTCTCCGCAGCCGTAATATGTACTCTGTACCAACGATATTCAGGGAAATATATCAAATATAACTCAGAAATACCCCTGCTTATTTTTATCGAATCGCTTAATATTTGGATATATCTCCCATATATATCTTTGTCCGATTTGCCTCATATTGTGCACCAAACGCGTAATATTTGCCCAAATGGAATAGAATTTGGTACTTACGACCAAATTGAGTCTTAAAACCATTATTTCAAATTTGGTTGGAAATCGGTTCAGATATAGCTATAGCTACCATACATATTGTTCATCAAATTTTTTGAATTTGCCCTGCATACCCGTCATATGGGTATGCAGTAGGAGAAATATATTAAATACAGCTCAGAAATGCCTTTGACAAATTTTATCGAGTTCGGTTCAGATTTAGATATAGCCCTCATATATATCCTTCCGATTTCAAGTTAATTGTGCACCAAATGAATAATACAAGCCCGAATTGAAAAGGCGCAAATGCCTCGACAAATTTAGCAGAAATTCAGAAGAGGATATTCCTCCCATATATTAGTTCCTTTGAACTTTTAATTATTACTATAATCATAGGTGGTTGATTTAATCCTCACAAATTCCGCAATAAAACTTTTGTTTGTTATGTGAAGCTCTACTAAATACGCAAAGTGGTGTAGTGTATCATAAAGTCAGCCCCGCCCGACCTTAAGACTTTCTTTACTGGTTTTAGAATAAAATTTGGTTTGGTCTGACAGTTCGTGTTTCCCAATAAATGGTGATAACGATTCTACGTCTTAAGTTCGTTGTGTTTTTATACCCTACACCACGAAGTGGTCAGGGTATTATGTCTTTGTGCATTTGTTTGTAATAGGCAAAAGAAAACGAGACAGATCCATAGTTCCTTTTGATGATCTGCATAGAATCACATTCTGAGTCGATTTATGCATGTCCGTCCATCCGTCCGTCTGTCCATGTATTTTTTGTAAACAAAGTACAGTTCGCATTTATTGCCCTATCCAGATGAAATTTTGCACAAATCATTTTTTTGGCCCAAGGACGAACCCTATTGAAATTGGAGATAATCGGTCAAAATTTAGATATAGGTCCCATATATATCTTCGTCCGATTTGCCTTTTATTGTGCACCAAACGTGTATCAGTCCGATCAGATTGGATCTGAAAATATGTATGCCAAATTTGATCGAAATCGGTTCAGATATAGCTATAGCTCCCATATATATTGTTCGTCCGATTTGTTAGTTTTGTCCTCCGCAGCCGTAATATGCTCTCTATAACAACAATATTAGAGGAAATATATCAAATACAGCTCAGAAATACATTTGCTAAATTTTATCGAAATCGGTTTAGATTTGGATATAGCTCCCATATATAACTTCGTCCGATTTACCTAGTATTGTGCACCAAATGTCTAATATTTGCCAAAATTGGATGAAATTTTGCACTTACGACCTAGAAGCTAGTATGTCAAATTTGGTGAAGATCGGTTCAGATATAGCTCCCATATATACTGCTCATCCGATTTGTCATATATGTTACCCACGGCCGTAATATGCACTCCGTAACAACGATGTTCAGGGAAATATATCAAATACAGCTCAGAAATTTTATCGAGATCGGTTCCGATTTGGATATAGCTCCCATATATATTTTATACGATTTCAAATTAATTGTGCACCAAATGGGCAATACAAGTCCGAATTTAAAAGATACAAATTCTTCGGCATATTTATCCCTTGGATTTTAAATTATACTTATAACATAGCGTGTATGATTGAATTCTCCCATAAAAATTTTTAATTGTTATGCGGAGCTCTACTAAATTAGCAAAGTGGTGTAGGGTATCATAAAGTCGGGCCCGACTTTCTTTACTTGTTTTTTTTTTTCACAAATCATATTTTTTCCAATTAAAAAAACTCATAAATTTAACAGGAACTTTAAAAAATACACTTTCAGAAAATCAGTTCATTTAGTTGACAAACCGCAAAATCAAATTTAATCTTCGCTTAAAGCCACGTATACTCACACGTATACACACATGTACAAAATATATATTTACCTTTAATTTATCAGGAAGACATGATACGGCACGTTCCTCGTCGGAACATTTTTGCGTCAGCCACAGGTAATCGAACCATTTGATGACCTTCACCTGCAGATGATTGGGCACACGTCGCATACGCATATACGTTTTCACGCCATCCAATTTCGCTATAAGTAGAATAAGACCAAAACCACACACACATATATATATATATATTAACCAAATATATTTTCCAACATACAGATATATGTATGCATGTACATATGTGTAGTATAAATAATTAAAAATAGCATAACTACAATAAATTATTATTATTAATTTTCACACATAAATTTTACTGTCCAAAGTTTTCACAAACATTTGTCCAGCAACTCGCAGTTATTGACAGCCTGACTGACCGCCAAAAACAATAATTAAAATATTTTGCCAGATTTTACCTAAACAAGAAAAAAACAACAACAACATCTAGCTTTGCATTCGATTACAGGTAACTCAGGTTACGTTTCATTTGCAAATTAATTTTAAATTGAAATTTTTGAGGTCTGTCCGAAACGTGTGAAAATTAGAACAGAATAAAATGGATAAATGGCATTTATACATGAACGGATTTGTGGTTATCGAAATATTAATGAATTTCTGGTTTTAAATATTAAATTCGTGTAGAGAATTTGAAATTCAATTTTGTTGAAAATCAATTTTGTTGGCGAGGGCTTTTTTAGATTTTAATTAGGCACGGTTATTTATAAAAAATATATATTTTTTATTTAATTTAATTTTTTTCTAGGAGCCAATAATTTTTAAACAGTTCAGGGATGACTCGTAGCTGCTATTGATGTCAAAACCTTTTGTATATCCTCCACCTTGGAATGGAGGGTATATTAACTTTGCAATACCATTTGTAACATCCCTAAATATTCATCGTAGACCCCATAAATTATATATGTTCATAAACAGCATAAAATCCTAAGTCGATTTAACGATGTTTGTCTGTCTGTCCGTCTGTCTGTTGAAATCACGATACAGCCCTCATTATTTGACGTAGACCTTTTAAATTTGGAAGAACATTTTGTATTCTGTTTTTGATGGTTGGTATTGAAAATGAGATACATCGCTCCGCGGTCCACCTCCCGATATTCGGTATTTTGATCATTTTTGCCACATTTTTTCACAGATTTGTCTTAAAATTGGTATTTATAGGGTATAGTGTGTTTTAGTTCGTATGGCGCAACATTGAAGTTATAGGTCCACGTTTTAGTATAGACCCCATACTATAGTACCTACGGATAAATGGCATTTAGATGATTTTTGCCACAATTTTCTACGGATTTGTCTAAAAATTAGTCTTTGTAGGACATATTGAGTTCTAGCTCGTGTGGTGAAACATTGAAGTATAGGTTCACGTTTTGGTGTAGCCCCCATATAACGGTACCTCCCGATATTCGGTATTTTGATGATTTTTGCCACTTTCTATCTTTGTAGGTCATAGTGGGTTCTTGCTCCGGTGGCGAAACATTTTATGTATAGGTCTACGTTTTAGTATAAACCCCATATAAAGGTACCTTCCGATATTCTGTATTTTAATGATTTTTCAGTGTGATTTTTAGGTATTCGGTGATTTTTAGGTATTTTTACCACATTTTTTCGCGGATTTGTCCAAAAACTTGGAATTTGTTGGTTATAATGGGTTCTTGCTCCGGTGGCCAAACATTGTATATATAGATCCACGTTTTAGTATAGCCCCCATATAACGGTACCTCCCGATATTCGATATTTTGATAAAAATTGGCGTTTGTAGTTATAATGGGTTCTAGGCCGTTAGCAGAACTTTGAATATTTAGTTCCACATTTTCCTAAAGCGCACATATAACTATACCCACCAATACTCGGTAATTTGATTATCCTAGTCACATTTACCCACATCATTGTTTCACATTTTGGTTTTTTAGAAGATTTGATAGATGACAATCCTTGATGTATAAAATTGCCTATAGAGATACTTTTATATAAAAATGTTTCCTTTACCCTAAGGTGGAGGTTATTGAAAGTTTAGCCCGCCCGGCCCGAGTGCACATATAGAGAAAGGATAATCCGATTTTACTCCAAACTTTGTATCAGTGTTATGTCAGGTGCGAAAATGAACAATATTGGTTCACTCCATCAAGTACCTCCCCCACAAAAGGTCAAAATTTTGAATAATGTTAACTCTTATAAAATATGAAGTTATATTCCGATTGTCTTCAAATTACACACACCACAATATTTTTATTAACCAAAGGTCTGGCGTGAAGATAAAATATATCGGACCACTCCTTCTGATACCTCCCCCACAAAGGGTCACAATTTTGAACTTTCATCAAGCTCATGCAAAGCGAAATTAAAAACTCATTCCATTCACCATTCAGACTTGGTACATCTCAATATTTCTATCAGCACAAGATCTGTTATAAAGATGGTACAGATGGGACCATTCTTCACGGTACCTCCCACACAAAGGGTCAAAGCTTCGAATAAATAAAACGATAATAAAATCCGAAATTTCGAAATTTCTTCTTATTTCACATGCCTAATTACTTCAACTAGCAAAAGATCTATTCCTTCTGGTACCTCCACAACAAAGATTCAACATTTTCAATATCCATGAAGCTGATAAAACGTAGATGTTGCACTTAAATGGTCTTCCTAGATCTGGAACCAATATTTCCCAAAGACCTATAATCTCTAAGAAGTGGCAAAAGATTAACATTTAATATTGGTTTTTGACTCAAACGCATCTATATGAGATACAGACATTTGACTTTATTCTTCAACGAAATAGTAAGAAGTGCGTCTTTCCTGTATTTGTGAATTCTCCAAAAAGTCTCTGGAATGGACATTTTCGTATTTTGTCTACAAAAGTTGGCAAACTATTTCACACATTGAATATTTTTGGATGGCCATTAGAAACTGCTTGGCTTTTGCAATGTCCGGTAACCCCCATTCAAATGTGCGTGAGGATCGGGCGATAATTACGACCTGCCGAAAATTTTGCAGTTTTTTGGTCCATTTCAATCCCTAAATATATGGCGATCATCTCCAAAAAGAGTAGGCTTCTATTCTGACCCTCATCTTATCCCCATGCAAAATTTCGTAAGGATCGGGCCATAAATGAGATCTGTATATGATATCCTGATATCCTAACTACTTGTTAGCTGTAAAAATATTACCAAATGTTTAATTCAAAATGAAAATATGCCAAAAATATGACAAAATTGAAAAAATATGAGAAAATGTTACAAAATCAATATTTCCATCTTTAGAGAGATATTTTTATGCGATTTTTTTAGACTTTTTTTCTTTCCTGCCAAGAGGCCATTCTGAATTAATGAGAACTGCCGAAATCAGTTCAGCCGTTCTCGACATATAAGAGATCTTTCAAGCATATCTTCTTTGATAGACATATATATCGCACATATTTTGCTATATATCCGATTTGTTGGATTTTAACATCAATGTAAAGATCAGAAGAAACCTTGTCATGGCTTTATGATTTCGACGGGATTTAAAATATTTGCGGTTTGATGAAAAATTTTGATTTTTTTCAATGCAAAAGATATGGTCTATTTTACCAGCTAAATATTATCCGATGACCACCCAAATTGGTAGGCTTCTTCCCCTCCCTAAACTCCAGCTACATGCGAAATTCCGCGTCGATTGGTCTATAATTGCGACCTGTATAGCTACTGCAAAATACGACATTTTTTCAGTATTTGGTCCATTTCAACCCCTAAACATTTGGCGATCATCTCCAAAAGCAATAGGGTTCTATTCTGGTCCAAGCCCCACCTACATTCTAAATTTCGTGAAGATCGGACCATAATTGCGACCTGTAGAGTGATTACAAATTAACATGGACAGACGGACGGACGGACATACATAGCTAGATCGACTCAGCTCGGCGAACTAGGAAGATCCATATATACTTTCCTATATGGGAAATCAATATTTCGAGGTGTTACATAAATTCTGGCCCAATCAAACTTATAATACCCCCAACACATAGTGTTGTAGGGTATAAATATTAAAATTATGGCGTGTGACTTTATTGCATTTTTTTATCTCACCCTGAAAACCTGACACTTCGAAATATTTATATCATATACATTTAGGTCCGATACAAAATGGACAACATTCGCCCACTCCTGTTGAGCCCACTCCATAAAGTGTCAACAACTTGAATAATCATGACAAAAGTCAAAATATATTTGAATAATCGAACATTGCCTGAGGGTATATATGTGTCGGGAAAATCGACTGATTTTTTTGGACGTGTTATTTTCTAAAACATCACAATGCGTTCTTCTTTTACAATAATTTAAGCTATTTTAAAAATTCTCATTAAAATATTATTTTATTTTAACGCACATTACTGAATTATATGGAAACACGTTATTCAATTAAAGAATTTCATGACGATTTAAATTTATGATATGTGTAATGCATCGTGCTTTACATAAATAAATGGGAAGTGCAATAACAATGCCTTAAAATGGGGAGTTTGTCGTTACAGTGGCGGACTGGCTGTTGTGGTCAATGGTGTTGCTGGATGCTTGGGTGTATTGGTCAATTTTTTTCATTCCCACCAAACACACAGACAGACAGTGACGTCGTGGGTTGGGTGTCGTCGTCGTTGGTTGTTATTATGACGCGACAATAATTTCCGCACATTGAGCAGGAAGTGATTTCAGGCGTGTATTTCGTAAGTGAAAACAATTGACCAACAATGTGTTCCACATATACATACAGGGTGAGATAAAAAAATGCAACAAAGTCAAACGAAGTATTTTTTTACATTTGTTTAATTTTCATTTAATGGAAGCAAAAAATTTCGGAAATAACATCAAATTTTAAAAAAAGTTTAGATTTGTTCGAATTGGTCACCTTTGACACGAATTATGACCTTCAAACGGCCAATGAAACCGTCACACACTGCCCGAAAGTTACTCTGCAGTATTTTGGGCCCATTCCCGGCAAAGCGCTTCCTTGCGGTGATCGACACTTTGGTATTATTTAGTGCCAAGCTCGCTTTCCAAAATATTCCGGACACGGTAGTCAACGGATTGGTATTCGGAGATTTTGGGGGCCATTGTGTGCTGGAAATTAAGCGAGAAACCTCATTTTGTAACCATAT